CTCTGCCACGCTCATCTCGGCTGCCACCGGCGCGCTCGGGGGGTCACGCTTCACACCTGCAAGTCACAGCCCCTGTTGCCTGCTTGAGGACGGCAGCAAGGCTCCCAGCGGGGCGGCAGAAGGGCAGAGTGGGGTGTCACAGCCTGTTTCTCTGGGGATCCTCTCCCTGATGGAGAGGATGGTCTTGCTCTCATGTAGTATGGTGCTGATTATGGGGGTTTGTGAGTGCCAGCCAGGCTGGGGCCCTGGAGCCCTGCTAAAAACCCCCTTCCCCCAAAAGCCATTGCAGCACCACGTCCCCAGTGCAGTGGGTGCACATCCCATCTCTCCCCCATGTCAGCCCCCCGTGAATGGGCAGGACGGAGGACGCGGGACCCCCCTGAGCCTGGGGCTTACACTTGACCCGGAGCTGGGAGGATGTCTGTGACTCCCCAACGGCGAAGGAGATGATGCCCGCATCCTGGCGGGTGACGTGCACCAGCACCAGGAGGTGTGTCCTGCCGAAGCTCTTCAGCACGGTGCGGGGCGACTCCCGCAGCTGCAGCCCGTCCCGGCTCCAGCAGATCCCCTCCAACACCTCCCGCGTCTCCACGCAGAAAACCGCATTCTCCCCTTCCATCACATCCAGCTTCCGCGGCAGCCGCTTCGCAATCACCCCTACGAGAAGAGATGTGTGAGGGCTGGGGAGGGATGCTGGGGACTGCGCTGGGCTCCCCGGGGCGGGAGAGGGGAGGAGGAGGAGGAGGGTGAGGAGGGGCAGCAGCAGGCGCCACGGCCAAACAGTGGGAAGGCAGATGCGAGGGGCAGTGGGGAGCCTGGCAAGGAGGGGGAAAGGAAGGCAAAGCCATGCTGCTGGAGACCAGCCCCCACCTCGGACGGAGACCTCGGCGATGCTGCGCCCCTTGTCCTTCATCTGGCAGAGGTAGATGCCGTCGTCGTCGGTGCGGGCATCGCGGATGGTCAGGCGCCGCAGCACGCCTCGCTCCTCCATCACATACTTGTGGCTGGGCTGCAGCTCTCTGTCTTCCAGGTACCAGGCGGTGGGGATGGTCTCCAGCGGCACCTGGCACTCCAGCACGGCGTCCTCCCGCTCTGCCACCTCCACGTCCGCCAGCTGCACCTGGAACCGCAGCCGGTGCTCTGCCGCCAGGAGAGACGGGTGCTGAGGGGGCGTGGGGCACGGCACCCGCCGGCAGCCCTTTGCTCGGGGCTTGGGCCCCAGCTCCCAAACAGCACCAAGCCCACGGTCCTTCTCTGCCCCTCTCCTCTTCAGCCCATGTGGGATGGGCACTGCCCCAGAGCAGCGGTGTCCTTGGTTTTGGAACCAGGGCACAGGCTGGGGTCACCCAGCGATGCCCCAGCACCTCAGCAGGGAGTTCTGGGGGATGCAGGAGCATCCACCCCAACACGCTGCAGCAGGCATCTCAGCGGAGGGGAGCAGCAGGGTGCAGGCAGGGGGTACACCAGGTGCTGGGTCACCCAGCAGTGGGCTGTCCCCAGCTGGCAGGGTGGCTCTGGGGGACAGGGCTGCCGCCAGTGCACATGCTTGGAGCCGTGCCCTGCAGGGCTGCCTGCCAAAACCACTTGGCACTTCCAAGGGAATTTGTCACCAAGGCACTGTCATCCCCCCCGCTTGCGGCTGGACACCCACAGCCCTCCAGAGATGCCACCTTTCTGCTTGCAAGGAGAGAAGGGCACGGAAGAGGGGACAGGACCCCATGGGAGCCCCGCATCCCCTGCCTCCAGCCCACAGCTCTGTCTGGAGGAGCCTGGGGTGACCCTGGCTGCGCAGGGCAGGAGGGAACCCAGGGATGCATCCCTGCCAG